GTGGACGACCTCTAAAGCCTAAAAATGCTTCTCTGTACCCAATGGGACAATATTTTAACTCTACTAACTTTCAAATTTTTTACATATCGTGGGTCAGAGCTAAAAAAAAAAGGTTGTAACTGACATTTTTGCAAAACGGAGAAAATACTGTTTAAAATTTGAGATGTCTTGCATAAATCCATACGAATCCAAAATTGTCTAATATTTGGCACAAAAAAGAGTTACTAATGTTTGTTAGTTGCCTACAGGGGTTCCTCAAATATAGAACCTGAAGTTACAGGAAAAATTTTGAGTTCTGTACATAGAGAACAACATTTATACTACGATTGATAAGGAAAGATACAATAATCTTAAAGATGTTACCTGATACACCGCAAAAAGAGGGCTTATCGAGAATACCTGCATGCCAAACTTTATCAAAGGCTTTAGAAATGCCGAGAGAGATACAAGTCACTCTCCAGGAATCAAAAGATGAGATGGATGAACTGTTCAAACAAATTAGCATTTTTTATTAGGTTAGGTAACAAAATCTTAACCATGCATAAGCGGAGGAATAACAGATTTTCCTTTATTTTAGACACTGTTAAAGATTCACTTGAAGTTTTAGGAGCCTAATTTTTGAGATGAAATACGAGGTTTTATTATTGCTTAAAACCTTTTTACAATGGTTTCTAGCAATAGTAAACAGACGTCTGTTTTCTTGAGATTTGTTTTGGTGATAGATATAGAAGTAATAGTTGCAATTAGAAATGGCAGTGGAAATGAGAGGAAAACCATGGAGAAAAGTGGAGCTTGACTTGGAATTGTCGAAAGAGAATAAAAGATTTTATAAAAGATATAAAAAAGTAGCAAGATATTGGATAATTTATAGGATTAGTCATTATGGGATTAATATTCAATCAAATACATTACAGATATTTTAAAATTATCTTGAAGATAAACATTATATCGCGTAACAGTTTGGCTAGAATTTTTTTGGTGTTTTGGAAGTAGAATTTTTGGTGTAATAGTTAACTTGACCTGGAGCATGCTTTAAACTTGTATTTGTTCATACATATACTTAAGGAAAACGTTTTTTAAAATTTGCAAAGTGATTGTTCATTCAAAATAGGGTTGTTAATTTAAAATGGTCGTAAAATTCAATGTTACGAAAGAGAATGGTCATAGTTTTCAATGTTATGAGAGAAATTGACACTTTATTATTGTCTAATTTTATTTAATTTACAAACTTAATTATCATGTTTAAGGAACATAGTTTAAATTAACATTCATTAAAATCTAAAATTTTGTAAAAATGCCTATATTAATATTATAGTAAAAATATTTTACAATATAAAGTTTATAACTTGACAAAATATCCCTCCCCCTCCTCTCCCTTCTGTTATTAATTTTTACTTGTTACCAAAATACTCAGTAAACTTTAATATACTTTCATTATGCTAAACTTTGTAACACTTCAATATAAAAGAATTGAAAATTTAAAAAATCATGGTTTTCACTGTTTCGAGAGAAAATGAGAATTCAAACCTTGTAGTTAGGTTTAATGAATAGGGATTATTTATAGAAAGTGTCCTGGAATCGTTACAACGGTTACTATTTCACAATTTCAAAAATATATTCATAATTTAACAAAAAAAAAAATTGTTCATAGTACTATTCGATTGCAAAACAAGTGTTTCCTTATTGTTGCAATGGCAACATAGTTGTGTTTAGAAAGCAATTTTTAACAATATTTTTGTTTTAACTTCCGTGCAACAAATTATTTTTTTTTAATATAAAAATATACACAATTAATAATAAATATAAAATATTATTTATGTAATAAATAAAAAAAGTAAAAGAGATAGTATCATCGCTAAAGGTAGTTATAAGTATTAGCATATGAGTTTCACTGGATTGTAGATCCTCTAAAATTACCAAACCTTATAATCAAATTTTTATTCAATATGCAAAAATATTTGCTGCTATCAAATTTTTTTGCATGTTGAATTAAAATTGTCAAAAAAGTTTGATGATCTCTAAAAATGTTGCTACAACACATGAAGCTAAATTATTTCTAATTATTTAGTTATTAAACATGTTTCTATTCAGAGCTATTACTATATTCTCACATCGCCGGGGCAAGTTCCAATCAAACAAACTAAAAAAAAGTTAGCAAAAACATACGTGAGTTTATGCGCGTGGAACTATATTTGAAGATTAAAAGGCTGGGCCGTGTGAATCTTTACGTTTGTTTGGAGCTTTAGTATTTACAAACTCAACCTAAACCAGTTTTTTTTCTCCAAAAATATTTAAATCCTATTTTATTAAAATTAACCATAATTTCTTAACGAGTTTCCTGAACAACAATTTTGGTGTTCCAAAATAATAAAAAAAGATTAAGCTCATACGAAAGGGAAAAAGGGGCAAGGTGGCGAACGGGTAAGATGACTTTTAACAACATAACAAAAAAAAATTTAAAGTGGGGGAAAACAAAACTGTATTTATATTATGTATTTTTAAATACCAATTGGTTTTTTTAAATATTTTTTACTCATTAGTTTGTTTTTTGCGCATAAAAAAATACCACAGTTTCGGTTATTGCTAATGGATGTTGCCCTTCTGGTGTACCTTTTTAATAGATATTTTGTTTTGCGACGCGTGTTTATTTTGTGTTACTTTAGTTAGAATAGTTGATAGTTTTTAAAATTTTACAAAATTGGAGACAGAAAACGCAAAATGTCATCTTGCCCCGGTCAAGTGACCAGATAACAAATTTTCGAATTTTAGATTTTAAATTTATTAAAAATTTTACTCTTGCAAACTGAGAGCTCATGCAAAAAACTAATAATTTTAATTAAAAAAAAATACTGACAAAGTATCATTGCTTCATTTGCCAATTTGCCCGGTCTTCCCACGTCTTACACGTATATTATCAAGCCTATTTTTAAAAAAGCTACTCTAAATCAGTTAAATGTATTTTATATTATAAATAATATTTATTTAATATACATGATTTTAAACTAGCATTGTTAAATTTATAGATTGTGGGTAACGGGTTTTGAGCAAATATAATCGACAAATATTTACTGCAAATCATAAAAATAGTAAAATTAATTACTTAATGTTTAGATTTCTCTTACTATCAACAAAATTTAGGCTTTAATAAATAATTCATCAACGTTTCATTATGAAAATCATTTGTTAAATAGTTGAAGAAAAAAAGAATTATACTTATCGTTCATTTCTGCTAATTGTGATCCTGATTTCATTGCCTCCAGATGAAAGGTGTTTCTCTCAGATGTTACAGAATCCAGTTGATCGCGCTGGTTTTCTAGTTCTCTTTCATAAATAAGTTTTAACTCGTGAATTTCGTTTTGAAGAGAAGATACTTGAGTTAAAAAGACATTATTTTCTATTTTTTTGCACTGATCTCTCATACTGTTTACCTTTTCAATATAATTCTTGAATCGATCGCTCAGAGACAGTGCTTGAATTTTACTGAGACGACGTTGCGTTAAAAGGTCTGTAGTTTCAGACCTATTATTATCAGACATTTTGATAAAGTCTTTAATAAAACAGTTTTATTTTTGTTGCAAATACTTCAGATAAGTGTAGAATTGCTTTTTTTGGTAAAATAATAACAAAGTTTCAGCAAAAGCTAGCCAGATAATAACAAAGCAATGATATATTAATAATATAATCTAAAATTTTTTGCTCATACTTATTTCAATTTTAGCAAATGAATTAAACATACTTTCTACCTGTTTCATTATTTAATAGTATTACGCTGCGTAGCAACTAAGATCGAGATCGTTTATAATCATGTACAGTGACGTAAAAATTGTTTGATTGATTAACATTTAGCACACTTTTACATGATAAATAAATAATATTATATAGCAGTAGTGGGAGCATATTAAGAGCGCTGAGCTTAGAACGAAAGGGTCCCAGGTTGTTGCCTGCAATAACCATATGTACAACATTGGTTAGAAAGATTGTGTGTATTTATATATATACATTATATATAAATTATGTTGTTGTATTCTACAAATAAAGTGCTCAATGTTCTTAAAGAACAGAATAATAATAAATTAGTAAAAAAGGTTAATAACATAATTAAATTTTAAGTGGCTTTGGTGTTTAGCAACAATTATGATAAATTTCATATTCTCAACAACAAGAACATTAGCAACATCAACAACAACAACAACTACATCAGCAACAACAACAACAAAAACAACATCAGCAACAACAACAACAAAAACATCAGCAACAACAACGATAAAAACAACATCAGCAACAACAACAACATCAACAACAACAACAACAACAACAACAACAACAACAAAAACAATAAAAACAACAAAAACAAAAAAAATAAAAACAACAAAACAACAGCAACAACAACAACAAAAATAGCGACAACAAATGCACCAACAACATCAAGCTAATTATTTTTCTTTTATAATAATTTTTAACAATAATAATAATAATAACAGCTAAAACAACGAAAACAACAACAAGGACAACAACAAAAACAGCAACAACAACAACAATAGCAAGCTGTTTATTTTCCATTCATAATCATAAAAATTATGATTATGAAAGGAAAATAAACATTGAATATAAATGCCACATTTATATTCAAACCATGTGACTTTTAAAGATATAAAAGGTCTTTCACAATTAGAATAGGAAATAAAGTGCTATTCCTTTTTTTTATTTCCAAAATTTTAAGCTATCCTAAAGAAACTTTTATTAACATATGAGATAAAAAATTGTTTTGAAATCTTGGAAACAATTGTAACTCGAGCAAATTAAACGATAGTTAGCGGTTATTGTCTAACAACAGGTGAAATACGATTGTGCAGCAGCATTAGGTATGTACCCATGGCAAAACAAACCGAAAAAACATAATGATAATTTGTTAAATTATTTCAATCATTTACATTAATATTTTAGAGAAATATTAATGTAAATGATAGGAATAATGAGAAATAGAAAAATGAGAAATCTTTTACGCAACTACTAAGGTTACAAAAATGAGACTAAATATCACCAAGTACTTTAGCATTTAATATTTTTTAGGGAAATTGTAATGATGCATTAGTTTAAGAGTATAATGAGTCCAGTTTCAGGATGTGGTTCATGCTTACCTTCACATAAAAGAAACCTGTTTAGAAAAATGGCTTAACATTTAAGTATTTTTATTGTCAGAAATAATTTTCTCAGATATCTCCTTAGATAAGAACTATATTTTTATAGATTTTATATGTGATTATGAGAGCCTCTTATCTTATAGATTTTATAGATGTTACAATAAGAGTCACTTATCTTATAGATGAGTGGCTCCAAAAAAGAAATAAATTTTATGTCCTACTGTTGGTCATAAAATTACAAAAAAAAATAAACTACTACAACATCAACCAATCCGTCCATTATTAACCAGTTTTCTAGCATTCTTTTTTTGAGCTTCTATTCTAAAACTGCCAAACTTTGTTTGTGAGTCTTAGCACACTCATACCAAACAATGACACTATACTGGTAAGGTCCTTTTACTTATCCAGACCTTTAGATGATATCCCAAACTGGCTCTGCATCATGTGCAAAGTTAAAAAACAAGTTGAATATTAACTTGACAGTTTTACCATCTTGCAGGAACAATCTAGGAGCAATGAAAATCTTAAAGTCATATCTTTTATCTTTGCTATAATTAAGTATGAAATGATGTTTTTTCTTGATGTTTTTCTTCTTTTTGGAGGTTTGATTTACATTATGGATTTGTTTGTAAGTCCTTTAATAATATGATATAACATAGTGCAACGTAATGTAACCAGAGGTGATTCTGAGAATAAAATGAGTAAGGGGTGAATCCTTAAAAAGTACCAACTGGTTTCTATTTAAAAAAAAAAAGGTTCCTAAAACTAAAATTCACCCGACTGAATTTTGTGAAATACCCAACTACCCGTTGGTCAAATCAAAAAACCGACTATAACTTGAAAATCAACCTTTTTATTATTTATTTGGGGGTGGAGGGGACGGATGAGGTGGATCAACTCCCTTTCCTAAAATCGTTTCTGATTGTAACGCTCTCAAAATAAAAAAAGTTAGCATTTGATGCTGAATACACAGTAAAAATATTGCGTCAGTTAATTTTACTCTAAAATGACCATTATCATTTTTTTTTAAAGAATCTTCGTCGTAGTACCTGCAAAAATAGGACAGAAATTTATTAGCAAATAAGTTTTTTAAAAATTATTAGTGATATTGATGAGAAAAGTGTGTCAAAATTTTTAAACACTCTCTCGTCGAGACTTGTGACGAATACCGTCCGTTCCTGTTTTTTTTAACAACCTTCCTTTTTTTGAATTAACAACCTTGATTTTTATTTTGCTTCAAGAGATTTTTAATGCTCTTCCGAGGTAATTTGTGATAAGACCGTAAACTGTTTTTGCAGAGCGCTTCGGAAGACTATTTAATTAGGATGCTTACGCCTATTTTTTTTACTAAGGACGCAAATTTGGCCAGAGCTGGCATCGAAACTCAGATCTAGTAATTCTGAACCTATCGCTCTAACCACTGCTTCAATCGTCACAAAAAACTATTAATATATAGTGATCTTCACAGTCAACCCAAAGTTTTCTTTCCTTAGCTCATTTTAAATTGGGTTAAATTCTGAAAAACTTGTGGGGGACTAAACTTTGAGCTAAAGTTATCAGGTCAAATTTTGATTTTTATATCCCGATTAACATGGACCCGGTGGTACGCCATAAGAAAAACATTTTGTATCTTAACATATTTTAAAATCTATTTAATAGTAACACTATGAAACATTTGGTTGATATAATTTCAAGGGTGTAGGAAATTAAGAACTCCAGACAAACACATAAACGCCGATAATTGAATAAAATTTAGTTGTTAATTAGTTGTTAATATATCAAAATAAAAGATGTACTGACAAAAACACAATATTTTTTTTAATTTTTTGTTCAATTGTCTATTTGGTTTAATTTTATTTTTTAAATTATTGCTATCAGAAATAGTGTCATATCTAATAAAATAATAAAGATATCATTTCATATCTAAAAAAATGTTGTAAACGCCACTATTGTAAACATTGAATTCTTTAATAGAAATGTATTGTCTCCACCAATTTGATATTGAACATTTTACCAATTAAATAACATCAATTTTCAAAAATCATATTATATATGTTCTGATCAATTCACTCCCCCTATAGGTTGGAATTGTCCGTTTACTGTATTTTTTTCGTTCACATATGCTGATGTATTTTTCGATGTTATAATATTGAGATGGCTTGTCAAATTTCTGGTGTCCAACAAAAAACTTTTTAGTAAAAAAATGTTACAATTAATATCTTTTATAGGATGAGAAACAATGATATCTCTAAAATAACTGCAATGATCATTATTTATGTAGAAGCCTTCAGCGTGGCGTGCAATAACTCCTAAAATTAAACTAAAAATTACCAAAGAAATGTATTATAAAGTGTATATTTCAAAATTAACGTTAAGTTATTATACACAATTTGAAAAAATATTAGTTAAAAACTCTGAAAAAAGCAATTAATTTGAAACAGGAAAGAAGAGAGAGGAAATGGCAAAAGAAATGAAAAATATTTTTTTGGAAAGACTTCTTGTGTCGTACCTGCAAAATTACAAATGAATTATTTTTTTGAAACCTTTTGAATGCAGTCTAGGAGGTTTTTTTGTATATTTTGAAGTTGTTAAAGGTCGTTTTAATTAAAAAACACCCCTTTTTCCATTTCCAGAAGAACACTAAGATGAACAACAGTTACCAAATTTAAATTATATTATAAAATTTATGATATAAGTTTTTAAAATAAACAAAGTAAACTGAGGTAAGAGTAATTTAAAAATAATTAGCTATATTTTTAATTAATTTAATCAAAAATAATTTTATTGTTTTTATGACTAAATTTAGTTATCAATAAATTTATTGTACCTTGATTAAATTTAATTTATAGGGTCAATATTACATATATAAAAATAAAATGGTTAGTTTTTCAAGCACTTACGTGTTTTGTTGCACATTCAATTTACCTATGAAATTTACAAAAACAAATTTGGTCTTTATACTTAGTAATAATAAAGACCAAACTATATACGTTATCGGGCAATACGATAAAATTTTTTCGAACAGTTTTAGTTATTCGTTCGAATCAGTGACTCTAAAAGACTATTTTTATTTACAAACTCTTTTTGATTCAGTGAATTTTGAAAAAACTTTAACTTTTAGCTTTTTATTCTTTGAGGGATGCTTGAGGGGATGCTTTAGGAGTAGCTTGAAGTCCTGACAGCTTTTGCTTAACATTCTTAAATTAATGTACTTAAGAATAACAGTTTCATTTGATTTAAAAAGGTAGCATTTGTCAACTTGTTTTCTATTTGAAATAAGAACTTTACTTAAATACAAACATTTAGAAGGATATTTAAAGGTTCTTTTTGCATATTTAAACTAAAAACCATTTACAGTATTCAATTATGTCGCATAGCCACAAATCGTGGGAAATCAAACGTTAAAAAATTTAAATGGATTTCATGGTTTAACAGACAATAAAGTTGCCTTTTCCTAATTCTTGAAAAAAGCTCTAAAAAAACATGAATAAATAATAATAAAATAAAAAAAACACAAATGCAAAAAAAATAAAATAATACAACATTTAAATTAAATCATATTTCGCTAATTGGGAAATCAAAGTAATTTTTTTCGAAGTTACCAAAAAGTGCTAAATTTTCTATATTTTTCTTCTGCGAGTACTTCTATCAGACGATCTTAAAGTATGCTATCAAGTCGAATTAGCAGCAGCAAGAGTCAACAGTAAACTAGGTAGACTAAAGAAAATATTTAGAAGTTGTGGACTCTTTTTGTGGAAAGTACTCTACAAAACCTATACAAGACCCCAGTTAGAATTCGCTACCCAGGCTTGTTCACCACACAAGAAAAAAGACATTGCTTTTCTAGAGTAAGTACAGCATAAAGCAACTAAAACAATCAAGGAAATAAAGTACTTGGCATATGAAGAAAGACTCCTGCTTATCTACACTTAAAGAAAGGAGAATTCGAGGTAATCTGATTCAACAGTTTAAACTTCTAAAAGGTATTGATCAAATCATTTTTGAGAACCCTCGAGTTTACGCACCATTGATTTCTAAATACGATTTGCGTGGACATTATCTTTGAATTAAACGTCAAATGGTAAAAAACTCCAAAGAAAGATTAAATTTCTTCACTAATTGCATCGTCAATTTAAGGAATACGTTACCTTTAGACGCCGTAAGTACTGAATTAGTCAACTCGTTCAAAGATAGTGTTTACAAATTAAAATTCAATGTAGATGAATGATTGGATACACAAGTGTCTTTTCTTTCAGCACGGAAGTGCCTGGTGTAGCACTTTTTCATCAAAATATACAAATGTAATAAATGCATAGATAATTGATTTCTGAAATACATAAACTCAAAACTCAAACTCAAAAATCTATACGAAATTTAAAAATGATGCAGAATGCATTTAACAAAATGTTTCATAAGTTGATGAATTTTAAACAAACATAAACAAAATAGTATTGAAGCTTTTAATTATTTTTTTAAAGTTTTAAATGGTTTTGATTCTCAATACACCACAGAGAAGCAGATTAGGTTAAAAAGAAAAAAAAAGTTTCATCAATTTTTAACTTAAAATGTTAATGTAATGTTAAAGTAAACTATTTTTTGTTAAGAAATCAACATAAGAAAATTCTACAATATATTTATTGTAATATCAAAGTATATATATTTTAGCATAAAATACGTGAATATATAAGAATTATAATCATAATACTTTAAAAAAGTAAGGTATCTTAATTGTTAGTTTAACCTTATTTGTAATCAATTTTTAAATTTCAATAATAATGATCTTACACTACATAAGCGTAAGTAAATAAAAATGTGTTTTCTTATATTTTATTTTTAAAAAACTGCTTTTTTATGATTAACAATTTAAAAATGTAATTTTAAATTCAACTATGAACTTATGCACTAGCCAAATAAAGATTCCAGGTTTTTCCAAGCTCAATTTTGGTTTAAACAAACTATTAACTTGTATTCAAAATAAGATCAAAAATTGGAACACTTTCTGTTGTTCGACACATTTAAAAGCCATTTTTTTTGTTGTTAACGTTTTCTTTTATTTATATACAAAGTTGACATTTACAAAAAAAAATTGTTCGCTTTATATAGCGTATAATACAACTTGTGACTCTTGTCGATAATTAATAAAAAACGTTATAATAATAGAAAATCACAACTTGTGACTTTTGACAATAATTAGCACGCTAATTATTAATGACACACAACACTTTCTTACTCCTTAAAAAGATATTTTAAATTGAGTAATACATAGTTTCATTAAATACAACGCCCCTCTTTTTTTCGAAAAACAGTAGTATTTTTCGGACGTGTATGTAAAAAACATATTTTCCTAAAATAGTCGCATTAATACGTTTTGACATTTGGTTATACAGTCGACTCTCGATATCTCGAACACTAAGGGGACTGGAAAAAAAGTTCGAGATATCGAGAGTTCGAGATATCAAGAAAAGGGTTGAAAATAAATAAAATTGCCCGACTTTCATTAAAACAAGTTATTTTTCTGACAAAAATCATTAACAACAAAAACTATAACTTTTGAAAAAAATCTGTTATCTGATGTTGCTTTAAACTATCCATCTTTTCCATCTTCATTAAATCCTCAAGTTTTAGTGCTAGGGATTGTATTTCATTTTGCAACGAACCACGTTTTTTGACTTCTTTTTGCAACGAACCACGTGTATATGGCCTTGTCTACATTTTTGAAATTACCACAAAGTTTCTTCCGTTTAGATTTTTTACCATTTTTTTTCAGTGAGGTTAATAACTTGGTTTTATTTTTAATCCAGGTTGATAATGTGTTCTTTGGGACTCCATACTTTTTGGCAACCTCTTTGTTAGACATCCCTGTCTCTAGGTCTTTTAATGCCTTGCATTTTTCTATTATAGATTTGTTCGTGAGTTTTCGTTTAACGAGCGGCATGTTGTTGCGTTTGACAAAAAGAATAAATTAATATATTAAAGCAAAACTTTTCAGAAATTCGATTCTTAAAAAAAATCGAATTTAAAAATCGAATTAAATTTTTTTTTTTTTGAAAATTGGAATTTAAAAAAAATTAAATTTTATTAAAACATTTTTGAAAATAAAAATGTTGAAAAGTTCGAGATAACGAACGAGATAAATAGAAAGCCTCGACAAACTGATCCGAAATGCAAATTTGCACCGCACAGCAAAAATATCACGACTTAACAATCTGAGAGATCAGATTAACTATCTTTTTATTTGACTGGATCCTTATTGATCAAGCTTTTCTTTTTTATCTTTTCTTTTGCTACTTTTTTGCTACTACTAAAGCTATTTTGAGACTGAACTTGTTAGTATCTTAAAATGTAAAAAAATATTTAATATTTTATTAAATCAATTTTATTTATTATATATATAAAATTCAAAATAATTATTGTTTAACTATTTTTATTACAAGTAATTACCTATTTTAGTTGCTGTTTCACCAACAAACTCGTCATCAAAACTAAATATGGAATTTAAATCAAACAGTGGTATCATTTTTTTGATATTAGATTTTGATAAGATATAACCTACGCCAGAACAATAAGAATCATAGTAGCCATTTTGGTACACTATTTTGTATGGATCTGTTTTCTTTACGTCTGCATTTTCTATTTTATACCCAAAATAGGCATTTTCTATATTATTATTTTTAACAAATGTTAATAAGTTATTTATATTCAAGTAAATATCATCATGGCCTTTAAATACAAATTCATATTTAACATTATAATTGGTCCATATTAATCCAATGATCACCTTTTTTGTTAAAGTAGAAGTTTCTTCAAACAAGTCAACAAAAATTATATCATTCCATATCTTTGCTTCTTCAGCTACGTTTATTACTTCTTCTGAGTCAATTGTCCTTCCAACAACAAAAATTATAAGATACTTTTCCTTAGTATTCCAGTACGGTGATTTCGCCCATGTCTTTCGTATTGTATTTCTTCTGTTTAAGAAACTTGCATGTGAGTTTATAATTACAACGGCTGTATATACTGTATTACAGTCTTTCTTAATGCTTTCAAAAACTATATGAGAAAGGTAACGCTTATGATTATCATTGTTGATATTTTCTTCGGCATTTTTTAGCAAGTAGGTTGTTGGCAAAGATTTTTTAGATGAATCTTCATTAGTATCTACTGAATAAACGCTCGATTCTGAGTGCTTCTTAGTCTTTAGGTTTATCATCATCAGTTCAATAACGGTAATTAGTACTGCCAAGATAATTAAACTTGCTACGAAGTATCTAAGCACAGATTGCTTGAATAATTTAGTACATGTTTTTGCCTCCTTGTTGTTTGAACCCTTTGAATTAAAATAAAGTACAATATATTATATTGCCTTCTTTTAAAATAAATTTATTATGATTTTATTATAATGTAATACAGTTATAAATATAATTAAGAGAACTTAGGTCTAAAAATTAATGGGTGTGTAGTTTAATAGGTCAGAACTGTGTGCAACACAGTTCTGACCTATTACACTACACACCCATAATTAAAAATAATTAAGTAAATAAATAAAAGAGAATGAGATTATCTAAGATATTTAGAAATAACTTAATTCATTGTCAATAGTAAGAAATTTTTGTTTAAGTTTTATTTTAAATGTATGAAAAGAAGTAGTAGTTTTGATGTCGTTATTAAGTTTAGAATTCCATAATTTGGGTCCTCTATTTGCAATAGAGAATTTGGTGGCCGTATAATAGATTTTGGGTTGAATGTAGTTCTGATTTGAAAATCTAGTAGAGTAAAAATGATTTATTTTGTTAAAAAAAGTATTAAATATTACAGGTGTCATTTTATTATCAATTTTGTACATAAAAGTAAGTATCTGATAATTGTTTAGTTGATAAACATTGAGTATATTTAGTTTATTAAATAAACCTTTAGAGTGCGTAAAACTATTTACGTTTGAAATAGTTCGTACAGCATGTTTTTGTCTACTGAGTAATTTTTTTATTTTGGTTGCGTTGGTGGTTTACCAAGCAATATTTCCATAATTAAGGTAGCTGTGAATAAAAGAAAAGTATATGTTTTGTTAAACAGTTTTGGTTTAAAAACCTTTTAGCTTTATATAATAAGCCAATATTTTTTGATATTTTGTTTTCTATTGTACTTTGATATTTTGTTTTCTATTGTACTTGATATTTTGTTTTCTATTGTACTTATGTGTTCGCGCCATGAAAGATTTTCGTTAAGAAATACTCCTAAGAACGCGCACGAGTGCTCTCTTTTTATATTAGAATTATTAATACATAGATAGGTAAGTTTTAATGGAATATTTTTTTTTTTGTGGAGTGTATGAAAAAGAGTGTATTTGGTTTTACTTATATTAAAGGATATTTTATTCTACTTAAACCATTCAGTTAAACTTGTGAGTTCCTTATTGACTGTTTCAAATAAGAAGTCGATGTTACTATTAGAGTAAAACAAGTTTGTTTAAAACAATTTATGAATTCTGAAATTGTAATACGAAGGTACCCAGCCTGCACAACTCAGAAAAAAGTTAGGCTTGGTTTCTGTTAAATGTTTAAAACCTTCTAAAATAAAAATAATAACACGTGACAAGAAAGGTTTCCATTCCTAGAAATTAACTATTACCATATACCAAAAACGCCAGTTAAATTTTACTGGTTCCACCGTTGGATCCACTGTAACGGTTGGATCCACCCTAACAGACATGTAGGAGTAAATTATACTAAATTTCCGCGCAGAATGTGAAACGAGTGATAAAAGCACGCGACATTCAAATTTGATTTTAAAACACTAATAAAAAAAATACTAAAAAAAAGCACTGTTAAACTCGAGTAAAACTGCCCGCGAAAAAGACGTGGTTTACGAGTAGATCGTGACAAACACGTGTCTATACTGATTTTAATTCCAAAAGTGAAACTACATGTGCCGGCTAGGTACTTTATTTTAGTTATCTGCAAGTCCTGAAAATTTTGTATTTGATGAAGAAGCTCAATATTTTGGGTACTATCAAGTCCTGAAAGTCTTACATTTGATGAAAAAGCTAAATATTATTAAACTATAATAAGAACATCTCTTGACAATCAGTTTTTATTATTATTAAGTTTAATGCGAACCATGAATCACTAAAAGCATTTCTTGGCTGATTTGGCAAAATACTTTTGACGAACGAATGACGCTTTCTAAGTGAATTCTAAAAGGTGGTATGATTTGACTTACATTAACATTTTCTTTAAAATATGCTGTCTTTTTAAAAAAGATGGTATATATAATTTAATATTGATTGTACTTGAATGATGTGAAATAGTAAACCCCAGAGCCAACAACTTATAGGGACCCAGAGGGCAATAGCCCCCCTCACACCCAACTTTTTTTCTTAAGAATTTTTTTAAACAAAAAAAAAAAAATTAGATATTGAAGAAATTGGTAGTTGTGTCCCTTGAATTGTCGTCGACCAGTGTTGTCTGCCCTGAACCCATGATCGACTATAAATAAATAATTATTTCTTAGTTCTTCATTAAAGAAACTTTAGTTTCTTTAATGAAGAACTAAGAAAAAAAAGTTTTTCAAAGTCTTGATTCTTAATTTTTTAACAATTTTTTTGTCAAAAATTTCTGATAAAAAAACAAAAAAAAAAAAAAATTTTACAACGGGTTTTTTGAAAAACCCATTTGTAAAGCTGATTTATGAAAGTTATAGTTCCTGACAAAGAAATATCTAAAAAATCCTTTATAAGTTACATACAAGTTTTATACGTGTTTATGAATAAAGAATAAAGAACTCTGTTTATCATTCCACAAAAATAGTAATAATAATAATAAAAAACAATTAAATAAAACAGTTAATTTTTTAAATTCTTTTTTTTTTAAAAATATTTTACTTTCTTCTTTTCTTTGTGGTAATATACCATGCAGGATATATTGATAGATATAGATACCTGGCATATCTATTTGTTATTTTAGGTACTCAAGAAGACCTAACGGTCTTATCACAGAGCACTGCGGAAGTGGATTTAACCAGGGTGTTGACGCTTCCTTTTTTACCGAGACGCAAAAATATGTCCAGAGCTTGTTTCGAACCTGGACCTACTGCTTATAAAGCAAGCGCTCTAACCACTGTGCCACGGCCGCACAAAATAATATCAAATATCAGGCCGCAGATAAAAATATCAAGCCGGAGATAAAAATATCAGGCCGGAAATAAAAGTTTTATATCATACATATCTCTATTGATAATAGAGATATGTATGATGTAAACTTTAAATATTTCAAAATTAAAAAAATGTTTTAAAAATTAAAAAAAAAAAAAAAATTCGTTCAGCTCTTCCTACTCTACATCCTAAACTTTCAGATCATTTAACTGTAGTTTAAAGAACACAAATAAAAAATACGTTAAAGAAGCGTAACAACATTAACCTAAGAGTTTTAACTTCAATTTATAGAATTACTAAATAAAAATAATTGAGAACGTTATTTGAAGTTTAAATTTATAAATAATTTGCAACTTTAAAACATTACCTGGAACAACATCTCAAACACTTCTATTAAAAACAAATGAATGTTATTTCTTTAATTTATTAAAGTAATTGCCATCCTTTTTTTTTTTTTATTTAGCATTAAAAACGCATAAATAAGTAAATTTAAATTCAAATAAACGCAAATGCATTTGAACAATATAACTGATGAATATACACAGGTATAGAAATATAGAAACAAGACGAACAAATCAATATATAAATAATTGACTTGTATTAAATTTATTCGGATTTAAATAATTAACTTCGCAGTGCATATGCAAAGCTGAGTGGTTTCATTAGTTATTATTACATTATTATATGTTATTAGGCAAATCAAAAGTTATTAGGGCGCTATCATAGGTTATTATGCCGTTATCATAGGTTATTACGCCGTTATCACAAAGTTAATAGGAAATCGCGTACAGAATGTTAAAGAAAATAAATAAAAAAAATCAAAAATAAAGAGTTTAGAATGCGAGATTAAAATAAACGTTCAAATATTTTGTCATTTATAATTGAGAAATTATAAATTTATTATTAAAGCAAATTTTAAGAAATAAAAAAAGGAAAAAAAAAAAAAAAAAAAAACACATAAAAACAAAAACATAAATATTGTAAAAAAGCTATCTATAAGCATCAGAATATACTTTTCATATATTATTGAATAATTGTTAGCTTATTTCACACAATCTCAGATGCAGTATACCATTCATTAATAATCTCAATTTAATTCAATGCTTTTTAAGATTTTCAAATATCTTTAAGGTGATATAAATTCATTTATATCACCTTAAAATACTTTACATGGGTTCTCTATGTTACATTTTTGTCTAGCGTAACGCGAAAATGTTTTAGAAAAGCTTCTTTTTTAAAGAACAATTGTCAATACAATGTTTTGGAAATTATAAAAAAGTAAAGTAATATTGCTTCATTCATGATAGCCATTGTAAAAAGTAAATTTTGTTTTAGTTAAATTTAGTGACAATTCGTTTGCTTTAAACCATTCCGTAAGACATCGGAAATCTATATTTATTGATTTAAACACCATTTTTATCATAATGAGCATGTATAATAATATATAATTATAAAATAATATATAATAGAAATAAGAGAGGTTGTAATATAAGGCCGGGTGAGTAAAAATGAGCAATTGCTTTTACTCAGTTATCGGTCAGTTTTACGTTAATAAAAACTTCAACAATTTTGCTCAAATTTTTATTCACGTAAATGTTTTCTTATGGAACCCTGCAAATTATATTCATATTGACAATTTTTCCAAAGCTATTAGAAATAAATTGCTGTCTATTCTTCAAAGCATTATTATATAAGAACTATTTTGATCAGTTTCAGTTAAATTACAATCTTTTTAGTGGAATCCCTATTCGATAAAATTTTTTTGCCGAGAAGACTGGTACGTCTTTTTTAGTCAAATCTCGCAAACTCAACGGAATGCATGCGTTGAGGCTGCGAAGCCATTATTTAACAGATGCAAGTCAAGTGAAAAAGAAGAAGTTGAATTACCTGACAAGAGAAAGCAGCGGCGTCTAATTATAAAGCAGCAGCGTCTAATTATAAAAATACTGTTTTTGTGAAAGAAAGATAAAAAACTTCTTATATATTTACTTTTTATCGTTGAAAAAATAAGTTTATTAATGAAAATAATATAGTACTTTTACGGTTAATTTACTTTCCTCAGCTACCACAAGATCAAGCACCACGGAAATAAATCTACAAGCCTCGTAGATTTATTTCCGTGGTGTTTGATCCCGAGTTAACCGGTTTCGTAAAAATTTATTTACCTCGTAGCGGGAGACTGAATAAGCCAAATTTCATAAGTACAAAGTGGAATAAATGCAAAGCATTGCAAAAACTGGCATAAGTGCAAACTGGCATAATAATCGATTTAACCAAACCATTTGATACAGTTGACCACGAGATCCTCCTACACAAACTAGAGATATATGGAGTAGCAAACAACAATCTAAAATGGTTCAGAAATTACTTAAATAACAGGAAACAAGGAGTGTCGTACAACTCAGCATGTACAAGGTTACAAACAATTTGTTGTGGTGTACCCCACGGCTTCATTCTTGGTTCTTTACTATTTTAACTCTATGTGAACGATATTTACTTAACTTCAAACATTCTTAACTTTACTCTTTTTGCAGATGATACGAATATTTTCTTTACTCGGTCTCTTTCTATATTAATGTAGTTGATCATAAGCTGGGGAAGCTGAGGTAGTAAATTAACAGAGTTAGATAATTTGTGAAATAAAAGATACTTGGTTTTAAGGATGTTTAAGGAAAGTTTATTAGCTTTGAACCACTCGTTTAAGTTTTGCTGCTCGTGATTAACTGAAGAAAATATTGTTTTTTATATTTGAGTATTGGATGAAAATCTTGTGAATAATTTTTCAGGAAAATCTTAGTTGGAGGAATCATATTTTGCACATTGAAAATAAAATCTCCAAGTCAATCGGCATTATGCATAGAATAAAACACCTTCTAAATAAAACTTGCTTAAAAAATATATATTATTCGTTCATTCACAGTTATATCAACTATTGCAATATCGTTTGGGCAAGCTCTTACTTCACATACTCTTTAGTACTAAAAAAAATATCTGTAAAACAAAAGCAAACGTGTCGAATTATATGGAATGCTAACAGATATACCCATGCCAAACCATTACTCAGGGAAATTGAAGCTCTAAGTATTTATGAGCTGAACCTTCTCCAAAATGTATTACTTATGTTTCAATCACAAAACAATTTACTACCAAAATACTTTGAAAATCAATTTTCCACCATTGATCACAAATAGCCAACAAAGTACTCTTTTCAAAACTTTAACATTCCGAAGACTTTACTTAAAATAACTGACTTCTCTACCTTATCTCGAGGACCACGGCTATGGAATTCGATCCTTAAAGAAGAAATAAAAAACATAAAGTCATCAAATCTCTTTAAAGCAGCTGTCAAACAGCACCTATTTAACTTAAGTGACGTAAACATACTCTCCTATTTTTAAAGATCAAATTAATAATAACTAACTAAAACGATTTTATCCCTTTTGGATGACCACAAACGATGATTTTAACACAATACAAATAGTTTTTCATTTCTATACTCATCTATCAGATCGTTACGTACAAGGCTTTGTTTTTTACGTACAAGGCTAAGTATTTGCTTTATTTCTACTTATGATTTTTTAATTTCACATTAAGCTCACGTGAAACTTATTGCAAAGTCGCAAATAAGAGGGGCTTGATGATAAGAATGCAGTCTTCTACTTGCTCCTGTCATTATTTTAATTTTTATCTTATTTATAAATGTATACATGAATTAAAGTTAATTGTATGTAAAATATATAGTGACGAAATAAATTATAAAAAAAAGTGCGAATCGGCATAAGAGCGCCGAATAATTTTGCAAACATTCGAACTGGCATAAGCTCGAACTGTCATAAGTGAATAATTTCCAAAAACTGGGATAAGTGCGAACTGGTATAAGTGCGCCGAAGAAAATTGCAAATGTTAACATGATTGCAAATTGCCATTTCGCACTTATGCCAATTCACACTTATGCCAATGTTTGTAAATTTATTCAGCGCACTTATGCCAGTTCGCACTTATGCCAATTCGCATTTATGCCAATGTTTGGAAATTTGTTTGGTTCACATATAATAATTCACACTTATGCTAGTTCGCACTTACAAAATTCGCGCTTATTCAGTCGTCCCCCTTGAGGCTTAAGGGGGACGTAAAAATTTATTTATCTCGTAAAATTTATTTACCTCAATAAATTTTTACCAAACCGGGTAATTTGCAGTCAAGTACCGGGTGCAATGAAAAACCGGTACACCGGTTAATAAAAATTTATTAAATAAATTTAATAAATTTTTATTAACAAAAAATTAATTAAAAATCAAAAAAAATTTTATTAATCTTAAAAATTCATTTATAAATGAATTTTTAAGAATTAAGAATAAAAATTCATTTATAAATGAATTTTTAAGAAACCGGTTAACTCGCAAATTCTGCGTAACTCATTAATGCTGATTCACTTGCTTTAAAGTTTGAAAATGGTGGATGTCGCAGTGCGCTCGGGTTTTAATTTTGATAACTGTTTAAGGTAAATCTTAAGTTTACCAACTAAATAATGTAAAGAATTTACCTTTCATTTATTGTCTCGCAGAAATAGGCCTCGGAAAATATAAATTTTAGTCAAAATTAGAATAATTTGTAAATAAATAAATAATTATAGTATTATATAAATGTAAACAATAATCAGTTTAGATGTACACACTTGAGCTGTATTGAATCTTAACTACGTAGAATTAAGACTATGACCACCGATTACACTAAATAGTGTTCAGAAACTAAAATATTTATCGATGCTGTTTTTAAAAAGGTTTAAGTTATCTTTTCTATTTTCCATTGGGAAAGAGAATTCCAATCGTTTGTAACTCTGTTTGTGACGAATCGGTTAATTGTCTGCGTATTCTACAATTCTTACTTCTACTTAATCGTACTATTTCAAAATTTAATGGAGGGTAGTGAAAATTAACGATATCTTTTCCTTTTTAAATCTTATACATTTGAATCAGATCACCTCTTCTTCTTTTAACATGAAAGTTGGCAATCTTTAATCTTTTTTCATACAATTTCCCCCTTAAAGATTTGATTCTTTTGATTCATTCAAGATTGTCAATGTCCTTCTTCCAAAATGAACTTCAAACTGTTGCTCCATATTCTAAATGAGGATGCACTAACAATTTTTCAGTAAATTTAATAAAAATTCATCTAAATACTCAAAAGAGTTTTTGATCATGTCTAATTTTCTGTTTGCTTTGCCTATTGCTAAATTAATATGATATTTCCAATCTAGATTCTTCGAAGTGAAATTCTCAAGATCTTTTTCTATTGTTGTTTCTGTTAAAACAGAGTTGTTCAACTTATATTCATTTCTAGGATTCTTTTTACTGATATACATGACTTTACATTTTGATTCATTAAATTTAATAAACCAATCTTCAGACCATTTTACTAACATGTTAATGTCCTCTTGTAATAATTTATCATCACCATAACAATGATTGGTTGAAATAATTTCTGCATTGTCTAGGTATGTGGATTGAAAATTTTAAATTGATCAAAGGTTAGATTGTTATATATCATTAGAAAGTGCTTCAATACAGTATTTCAAAGGTGAAAAAATTATTAAAATCGGACTATTGTACAAAAAGTTATGACGTTTTTAGTCGCAAATTTTTGATATATGGATTTGTTGAAGAAACTGTGGTCAAAATTTAATTTTTCTTTACTTAAATTGTTATAACTTTGTCAATTCTTGTCTAAATACCTATAACTTAGTATCAAAAGATAGGTGTACCTGTGGGCTACAAATTTATAACATCATCCACCTATTAAGCGTTTCCTGGGGGCTAGAAGGGGTGCCGAACCACCACCTTTACCCTAAAAATAAGCATATTTCTTTCAATAAAAAGTGTTTTTTTTCAACTAACGGTTATTTTTTTTATACAAAAAATTGCTATAATTTTATTCCAGACCATCAATGATTGATGTTTATTAAAGTTGGTGGTGGATATGGTGGTGATGGTTTAACACACCCTAATTTCAAAAATATTAAATTCTCTAATTATAAATAAATAAATATTTCTATATTTAATAAAATAAGGGAAACTAGTATACAGTATAAAAAACATAAAATTTTTTTAGCTACAAGAAATTTATTTATTGGTGGTGTGCTTATTGACTTGTGGGAGGGGCGTGTGCCCCCCCCCCCCCAACCTAAAAAAATAAATAAGTAAAATAAATAAATCTTTATAATAACAATTATAATTATTTTAAAATAAGTTAACAATTTAAAACCTGAATTAGGCTTTTTGCACCAAGTATAACCTACAAGCTAAAGATAAAGACCACAACTGAGCCTACTTTTGAAAAAAAAGTCTTTCCGCTGCTATTCGTAAATTTTGGTTAAGTTGAGAAGTTTGAAGGGTGGTAATGGTTACCCACAACCTACAATAAAAAGATGTTGAATTCTTAAAAATAAATTAGTATATTTCATTTTTTGATATTTCATTAAATATATTTTATTTCATTACCAAATATATCAGTGTTGTATCCTATAAAAAAATGTAACAATCAATTTTATATTGTTCTGTATTAAAACATTTTAGATATCCTAAATTTAAATAGTTGTCTTAGCTTTTAGTAAATAATTAAAATAGTCAATTTCATAAATGGAACACTATAATAATCATTTGTAACAATAGACACCACGTGAAGATAAGCCAGAGCTGCCTATCAAAATATTTTGCAAGTCACAACACTTGTGCAAAGGTCATTCCAAGTCAAATACTTTTATTCTTCTCTAAAAACATTTATAAAAAAAAGTAAAACAAAAACATATGGTTTAATACCAGGCATACCTGACTTGATATGACTACTTCTTCAAGTTATATTACTTACAATACCTTTATACAAGTTTTATCATTTGTCGTATCTGTTTTGTAAGTTTTATCACTTGCAGTATCTATTTTTAAAGCTTCATTACAAGTAATATCATAAGCTGTTACATATTACACTTCAAAAAAAAATCAACTCTCCTAGTCCAACATCAGCGGAAGCTGATATTTTTTCATGTTGTAGTCAACAGCTTCAGTATCAGTATTACCTTTATTCCAGTAAGAAATTGTGCAAACTTTGTCTTGTTTTGTTTTATCAAGTTTTTCTTCTCTACCATCATACATGACATACTTCGAATACTTACTATTGTACCATTCATGGCAAAGTTTTTGCCCAACAATTCTATCTGACATTACATTATCTTAGTCATGACGTTATTTGATAGACAATGTATTTAAACACTTTATTTCATTGTAAAAGAGTTCAAGCAACTGTTATTTTAACTTTCTTTTGTCTTTTTCATCCATTTTTTGGCATTTGCATACATGTTTTTTTGAAATATCTGCTCATATATCATTATGCTTCATTTGATTTATCATCTCTTTTTATGGGTTTCTGAATAGACCACATAACTATATTTTTATGGGTTTCTGAATCGACCACATAACTACATTTTTATGGGTTTCTGAATCGACCACATAACTATATTTTCTCTAGATAATTGATCTAAACTTTCTAGGTAATTTAATTTGTATGAAACATAACAAACTGTTGCATTAGGTGATCTTTCTTCAGCCTCACTAAACATTCCCATTAACTCTTCACTATTTATATCGTGCTGCCTTGCGCATGCTACTTCCTCCTTGAGAGTCTGGTTAATAGAAAGCAAGAAATATCTCTTACATTGATGAGTTATGACGTCTCCTACTGCAATAAGACAAGCAAAAGTCATATTAATAAAGTGTTCATCAATCAAACAAAACATTTTTTATTGGATCTAAAATATTTGGTTCAAGGTCATTTTAAAAAGTGAACCTGGATTTGATTTAGAATCTGCAATTTTTAGTAAAATATTTTTTAATACCAGGATTCCACTATAATGGTCAAAATTTGCCTCCTCAACAGTCACACAAAATTTTGTCATCCAGGCTGGAAACTGGATGACAAAGTTTTATGTGACTTTGAGGAGGTGGTTTTCCAAATAATGCAAGCACACATTTTTGCTTTAGAGCTGTTTTGTTACAAATACTGCTCTAAGAACTTTTTGTATTGTTCTGCATATTACTGTTCCAATGGTTAAAAAATGCTCAAACTCATTAAATGTTTTATAAAAATAAAACAAGTATGAAAATAAATATGAAGACGATTTCCTCGATACCTTGGAATGATACCTTGTGGTAGTTTTTGATCATCTGAAAACTAATGAATCTTTTTGAATCACCTTTGCCATGTTTAAACCTCAACTTGTTCATAGCCAAAACTATTTTAAATGCCATACAATCATACCCAGCCATGAGGTAGCAATTATATCAAGAGCGTGTAAATGGCAGTTTAGCTCATTCAAACTTTCCCCTTAAATGTCACACAGTTTGCTTATGGTAAGATGGTTAATTGCAACTTTGGCTGACATTGCGTTTGATATATTTGAGATGATTGATTGATCACTATCATTAAAAGATGCTAAATGAAAATCTAAATAAAAGTTAGATGATCAACTGCTTTACATATATGCAAGCAAATATTCGTAACTAGCTATAAGCATTTTATTTGCCTTAATATTATGTACAACTTTAACTTATTTTAGCTTTTAAAGTTCTAAAATTTTCATTGCTTTATTTTAAGCTTTAAGATTGCATATTATCTTACTGTAATAATATGTTTGCAAATTTTGTTTAAGATCTCTAAGTTCAGCTCTTAAAACTTTAACAATTTGTTTCTTTTATGTAATTTTTGTCTCATTAAAAAGCATGGCATACAAGTTTCAACTTGTATGCCATGCTTTTTAATTTTGCCGTCATATTACTAATTTATTTCAATACTTGCTGGATGTAACAGCAAGCTGAGAAGTTAAATAGGACAATCTGGTATTCAAACCTTTTTTTTCTAGGGCTTATTTCTCCTCTTGATAAATGCATATTCATTGTTAACAGAATGTTTGGAAAATAAAGGCTTGTGATTTAGTGGTGATAAATTACTTATGTGCTCAAGTGGTGAATTATCTAAACTACTTAAAACAGTAGTAAGAGAACTACTTGGAGGGACATGATGATAGAAAGATGGGCAAGATTTGTGCAATGCATATACAGGGTTCATTACAAAATTCCTTAAAACGACAACTATCCCTTGTAAAGTTGCAAAACCAACTTTTGCATCTTTTCAAAACCCTAAAGAAATGTGGTTTACAAATGTTTAAACTAAATAATAGTTATAACAAATGACTCGACACTGTTAATGAATAAAAAAGATACATATCTATTTTTACAACAACTGCAAGTTTTGGCAGATAAAAAGAAGTGTGTATTTAAATACTCTTTAACTGTACTAAGAACAAAAATTAAAGTTGCTTTTAGTGCCTATTGCCGGGGCACAAAAAGCAACTTTATTTACAAAAAAAATGTAAAGAAAGTCTTGAATAACTACTGAATAATGATATAACATTAAATTATAAACAATATTATACTTTTATTATTAAAAACATTT